CTGGATGCCCTTCAGGTTCATCCTGCGCTTGGGCGGGTGGCAGGGCAGGAAGTATCTGCTGTCTTCGGGCGAGTCCTCGGAGGTGGAGGAGTCGTCAGCTTCCTGGCCGTTGGTCCGGGGGCCGGCGTCCCCGAAGCTCTGGGAGATGATGGTCACGGGCAGGTTCCGGGGCAGACTCTGCCACGGAGCCGTTCTGCCCCTGGCGCCGCCACTGCCCCGGCCGAGCTCAGGATGCCTGCGCTTCTCTCCTGCCCCGACCCCATCTCCCTGGAGGCCAGGCCATCTTCCAGCTCCACCCGCTCTCTCCTCACCAGTCTCCATCCCGCCTCCCGCCAGCCAGGGCCTGGAGCAGGGACGGGACCCCCAAGCTGGTCCTGGCCCCTTTGATCCGAGGTGCACCATCCTCTCTCCAATTTCCAGCCCCCGGTCTGAGCTATGAATACGGAAAACATTGCCAGGCCCAGCCAGGAAGCTCAGTGGTTAAGCGCTGACCCCTGAACCAGGAGGTCACGGTTCAATTCCCTGTCAGTGCTCATGCCTGGGTTGCAGGCTCGATCCCCATGTGGGGCGTGCAGGAGGCAGCCGATCAATGATGCTCTCTCATCATTGATGTTTCTCTCTCTCTCTCTCCCCTTCCTCCATGAAATCTATGAATATATTTGGAAACAAACAAACAAACAAACAAAAAACATTGCTGAATGACGGAATAAGGACAGAAACATGGTGGGTTCTGTCCTCTGTACCTGGGCTGAGGGGGGAGGGCATGAGGTCACCTCTGCTGACCCCCAAAGCCATGCCACCCCCGCTGGCTACCCTACAGCCTCCAGAGCCAAAGCTGCCCTACCTCCCTGCACAAAACCCCTCCCGGCCCCTGCGTAGCGGACAACGCCCGTCCTTCCACCACCGCCGCCCCCTCCCCTTGCGGCTCCTCCCACTGTGGCCCTCCACGCGCCCTTCGCCGAGTAACTGACAGCCTGTGGAAACGCCAGGCTCCGGTCTGCCTCCAGCCAGGGCGTCCTCTACGGGGGTGAGGGGTGGGCATCCCCGTCTCCCAGGCCCCGATAGTGGGGCCCCAGGCAAGCTGCTCGGGGCCTGTCTGGGTCCCTCCTCGGTGAAGTAGGTGAGTGGTGGGGCCTTCCTGCTGGGCAGTCCTGCACGTCAAGCGAGATCACGCACAGAAGGCGCTTTGCACCGCACCTGCACCCACGCACCTGCACCCACGCACCTGCACCCACGCAGCTGCACCCACGCACCTGCACCCACACACCTGCACCCACGCACCTGCACCCACGCACCTGCACCCACGCACCTGCACCCACGCACAGGCCCCGAGACCCAGGCTGCTTTAATAACATCACCCGCTCGGGAGGCAGCGCTCACTCCCCACCTCGCCCTGCCCACTGGGCGCTGTAAGGGGAGCAGGGAGCTGAACCCGTGACCATCCCCACGGCGGCGGGACTCCAGTGTGGGCCCCGAGAGGGAGCTGCAGCGACCTGGTGAGGGGCTCGTCTGAGATGCCCAGTGGCAAGCGCCAAGCCGGGCTTCACCTCACTTTCCACCTTCAGCACGAAGTGTCCCCTCATCACTGCCCAGCACACGGGAGGCTCAGGCGCGGG